CTCGCTGTTTACTCTGAATACAAGTACACATGCTAGATCTATGGCTAGTGATCCTGCTTTTAAGTCTATCAGGCTGTTGCCGTTCTGGATGAAAGCGAGGTGGCTCCCATGATTGGGGAGGGAGCAGGGGCGCAGGGAGACCAAGACCAAGTAGCGTTGGGGTCTGGGGGATAATAATGAGTGGCTTTGCTGCATATAACCATAGTTCTTAGCAGCACCTGCAGCTCCCTGTAATTGTTGCAATTGGTGCAGTTAGTTAGTCTATGCTTGCTTTGCTTGAGTTGTCTCACTTGTTTGATGCAAGGTTGGGCCTGGTCCTGATTAACAGCGACTAGCGTAATGAAGCTGTCTCTTGGCATATGCCTCTGACTGATTATGGCCGTGCTCAAGTACGTGTATTTAGTCAAAGTCACTGCTGGCTGCCGCTTTCTTCACATACCACTCGCTGCTAAATTAGCATTTCGCAGCAGTTTTTCGACTGCTTTTAATCGAGAAGTATGGTATGGGCTGCAGCGTTTCGATCTATACTGGGCTTTGCATCCCAGCTGAGGAGCCCAGGCTCGCAGAAGCCAACTTAGTTTGTATAAAACGGGCCCGTGAAAAGAGGGCCGAGGCCGTGAGAGATTCTGGGCCGCGCCGCGTCGTGCGCGGTTGCAAAAGGTTTCCTGTCCCAATGTTCATCAGGTCCAGGCCGTCGTGATGATCTCGCTGGCGTGCCCGTGTCCGTGCCGTGCCGTGTGCGTCGGTTCGAGCCGCGACGGCACGGCATGCATGTGCGCTGCACTCTGGCTTGCCAGTCACGGCGATGATGTGTATCAGTGTATCCCGATGTGGATCAAACAAAACAAAGGCTGTGTTTAGTTCGGAAAATTTAAAAATTTGGTTACTGTAGCACTTTCGTTTTTATCTGTCAATTAATATTTAATCATGGACTAATTAAGCTCAAAACATTCGTCTCACGATTTCCAACCAAACTGTGCAATTAGTTTTTTTTCGTCTACATTTAATACTCCATGCACGTATCGCAAGATTCGATGTAATAGCCACTGTAGCCCTTTTTGGAAAACTTTTTAAAAACTAAACACAGCCAAAGCTTCTGGCTACTGGTTTTGTTTTCGCCAGTTTGCCATTTCCCCGCAAAAGCACGGCTGGCTGTGGCTTTGTGCATGAGTCAGAGGTGTGTAAAACAAAACAACAAGAGACCAACGACAGAAGCATCAACTTTCGGCGTGTTTAGTTCCACCCCAACTTCTAAAAAGTTGCTATAGTACCTATCACATCGAATATTTACGGCCCGTGTATGAAGCATTAAATGTAGACGAAAAGATAAACTAATTGCACAGTTTGGTGGAAAATTACGAGACGAACGTTTTGAGCCTAATTAGTCCATGTTTGAACATTATTTGCCAAATAAAAACAAACGTGCTACAATAGCCCCAAAATTCAAATTCCTACAACTAAACAAGGGCTTTGTATTGTTAGAAGAAAGAATATATTATTGTTTTATCAAGTTGCGCCCACAGTATGCACGGAAACTGCGCATGCCCTACGGTTTTAGGACTGGTTTAATCCATGGCCTCGCAGTAATTTTGGCCACTCGATACTCAAAATAAATAAATTGGCAACCAAACATGCTGTTACCGCTTAACTTTTTTTTCACGAAATTCTCGCTAGGCACAATACATGGTTCCTTCTGTGGCTACTTGGTTTCTGCTCACCAACCAAAAAGGCTCCTTTGTTTTTATCACTGTGCTATAGCAGTGCTCAAAATTATAGCCGTTATGTTCTCCTAAAATAGTTTGTATTAAAAAAATGTATATTTGCAAAGCAGAAAGATGCCCGCTGCTCTCTTCACCTAATACTGTCGATCAGAATATATATATATATATATATATATATATATATATATATATATATATATATATATATATATGTGTGGTGCATTTTATGTACTCTCTAAAGTAGTTACTCACATAATCAATAAATCATGTTGCGTATGTATATGTACCCATTTATCAGTTTGAGTATGTTGATATACTAATATTAAGATACTCCAGATCTTTACTATGTGAAAATTTTTCAAAAAAGCATATATTTTTTAATATATTCTATAATACTACGATAGTAGCATATAAAATAAGTATAACCATATACTCTAAGTATACATACATACTTGTCATACATAGTATCCTAGATGGTCTATTATGATGATATACTCTATCTACATACACTTCGTCGGGCCATATACGTCATAAATATAGAGATATACACATGGGAGTAACTACTCCCTGGGAGTAGGAAATAATTTCCCTATATATACCCTGTAGCTAGCTACAAAATAACTTATTTTGTAGCCACTTTGAATTACGATAATTACTATGTTAATTTACGAGATTACAGTAACTTCTTACTAAGTGGTTTACTATAGCGTTATGGTAAATATCCTCATTTGTTATCGTAAACTAGTATATAAAATTATCGTAAATAGAGGTGGCTATAGAATAACTTATTTTGTAGCTGACTTCTGAATATACTCTCCATATATATATATATATATATATATATATATATATATATATATATATATATATATATATATATATATATATATATATATATATATATATATATATATATATATATAAACTCCATTGGAGTTTAAGGATTCATATATATATTGGAGTTTAACCTCACATGCAAGCTATTCACCTTAGCAGTCCACTATCAGATGCATTTATACTCAACTAGCATTTGTAATTACGATCTACACGTCAGTAAGACACATCATCCACTAACATGAATTTAGTTGTCCACATTAGCGTATTATGTCATCTACTAACATTAATTCATAATTGTTTATCTCTTTATATAAGTAATTTTATATATAGTCAAATTTTATTACAAATTATGAGCAATTTCCGCGGCAACACGCAGGTATGCTTTGCATGATCGAGAACAAGTACGAGGCTAGGAGCTGAGGCGTTTTGAAAGTAAACTGGGCTTTGGATCGTCTCAACTGAGGGCCCAGGCTCGCAGAAGCTAACTCAGTTTTGTATACGGGCTAGTGCAAAGAGGGCCGAAGGTGCGTGACAAATCCTGGGCCGTGCGGTGTGTCGTGCGCGTGCAAAAATATACCTGCGCCAACAGAAACAGGCTCGTCAGGTCCAGGACGCCAAGGCTTCGCCGGCCGTGCAGTGACGTGTCATGCACTCATGCGCGTGAATTCGAGCAACGACGGGGCGGCCTGCATGTGCTTGTGCGATGCACGCTTGCTTGCGCAGTTGCCCACAAGGTTCCGTCACGGTGATGGTGTGACTTGGTAAGTCCCAAAATAAAAGAGTATCCCCTGAAGTGGCTTCGATGCAAAAAACGTGCAATATTTATATCTTCAAATAAATTTGTTAAAAAACTAGACAAAAAGATCTTTTCGATGATACTAATTACTTAGCATAAATATTTATATATTTTAATATATAATTGCGGCGATGCGTTTCTAAGCGCGAAGCGTCTTTTTATTTTGGGGACGGAGGAGTAAGAGTATCCCTCGTGGATGCAAACAAACAAGTCAAAGCTGTCAGCGTATCGATTTATTCATAACTTTATCGGCCAACAAAATAGTATTTTTCTCTTATAAGCCAGTGGCGATCTTTTTATTTATGGTTTATAAAGTTCAACCCACCCCAAACGCAAATCTTTTAGCTACTGGTTTTTGTCACTTTACTACCCGCAAAACAGTGGCTTGCTTTGTGCACGAGTCAGAGGTGCGTCATGCGAAATAACAAAAGACCAATGACGACAGCGCACCAAATTTGTAGCTATTGTTTGTGAGAAACAAAATATATTTGGCTTATATATATCAGAGAAATAAAAATCTTCTCGTGGTTGTCTCGCCCACAATATGCATGGAAACTACGCACGCACCTACCTATACGTGTTTGCTGCTTAACTTTCACGCAACCTCTCGCGAGGCACGGTACGAACTCTTCCGTGGTTACTCATCACCGATTGGCGATTAGGTCGCTATCGACCGTGGCATCTATTGCTGTTGCCTCATTTGCGAATGACGAAGACTTCGTGGTTGCTATCTTTCATTCTTTGTCGTGTAAATGAACACACGAATGCGTGGACTTCCACTGCAATTTGTCGCTCATGAACCACACATTCCACCATTTTTCTACTTGGATTTGTTTGATATCGTTTCTTTTACATGGAGAAAACCCAGATAATTGAGCCTAGGGCAAGCACAGTGGGTGTAAACAATCAGAATTATCGAAATATAGACACCTTAGATATTTTCCCCCACAAAAATATTTTGTTTTTTAAAAATAATTTGAGGTATATGTTTAGATTCTCATTCTGGAGAAGCATTTATACTAGTCCTAGTTAAGTACGTAACGTAACTGACAAGTCCTTGTATGCATCCACAATGATTAATTGCCATCTTGTTTCGTAAAAAAAAAGACAATGAAACCCCAGTTAAACTTACAGCATGCAGGCAGCACATAAAGCAAGGAACAAGCGAGTAGTAACTGAAGCTGAACCCATGGACGCCCCGCCCGTCCACCACCTTTGGCCGTGCGCCCGTGCCCGTGCGAGATCGAGATCACGTCGCGGCACACGCGAGTCGCCACCAAGGCACCGCACGCTACGGGTTAGCCTCCCGTTGGCAGCCGGAGCCGGTCCACTCCACCCAACGGTCAGGTGACCCCGCACCCCACGTCCGTCCCCACCCCGAGCACGGGATCCGGGCCCGCACGCCAGCCGCACCGACGGCCAGCCCCGCAAAACGTCTAGACCTCGGCGGCGAGACGGACCGAGTCGGTTTCGTTCCGCTATGAAGCCCGCGCGGTTCGCCCGAAACCGGTTCTTGCAGATCGGCCCAGCCAACACCCATAATTCCGGATTCCCTCCTCCACTGCGCTCGCCTGACGCCTCCCCTCTCTTTTCTCCACGAAACCAACCAGCCAGACCAGCCGCACCCCGCAGCCCCGCAGGCAGCCATGGCCGTGGCTTGCGCGTCGCTTGCGGGCGGGTGGGAGATCGGCCCAGGGCTCGCGCTCGGGGCCCTGTTCACGGAGGCGGAGCTGGCGGTGGCGGACCAGCTCGTGCAGCTCAGCGGCAGCGGCGGAGGGGACGAGGCGGCGTCGGGGTCTGAGTCGGAGTCGCCGCGGTCCGTGAACACGTGCGCGGCCGCCGCGGCGTGGGAGGATCGAGAGGAGGTGGTGGCCGGGGCCGGTCTCGGGCTCGGGACGATGGAGCTGGACAGGAGGGCCAGGAAGAGGTACCGCCTCCTGTCGGACGTCTACGCCGCCACGTGGCCCGTGACCAGCGCCGACGCGGACGCGGGCAGCGCCAGGAAGAGGAAGCGGGGTCGCGAGACGGAGCCGGAGGCGGAGGCCAGGACGACGATCAGGTACGACGGAGATCAGTGCTTCTAGACTTCTAGACTAGAATCTAGAGGGAGACGGAGGGAAGGATGAAGGTAGGAGTCTAGGAGATGGGAGGGAAGGGCTTTTGTGTAATTATCGAAGATTAGTAGGGTCTGTTTTGCAATGTCAGTCATTTTGCTTTTCAAAGTTCTCCTAGAAGAAGGCTGAAGGCCACAGCAAAGGGGAAGGGGAACAATAGCTTGTACAGAAAGCAGTTCGTGATGCTGCTACGATTTGAATTCGAATTTTAGATCCGAACTGGGCCTGCAAGATATTTATTTCCAGATCCCAAAATGGAGTCTTCCCCAAGTGCTGGTAGCCTGGTACCATTGTGGTCTTGTGTGTGTGTGGCCGGCCTCTCAATTTGAATTTTCAATCCCCTATTCCTGTCCCTACTGCCGAAATGTTCCTCGGGATCCGTACGTGGCGCCGTTTAGAAATTTGAACCATTCGCCGTGGCCGCCGCCGTCCACCACAACATTCGCTGCAGCTGCGATGCGAACGCGAACTTAACTTCGCTTGCAAGGATATACGAGTAGACAGACGACGTGCACAAGCTTCGAATTGAATACGATACGAAGCACAGCAGCTGGCTAGGCATCATGGAGGTGTGGGTGGGTGCGGTGGCCTTTACGGCTTTGTTCGGTAGAACTTATCGCTGCTGCGGCTTATTCGTAGAATTGATTTATTATGAGAGAAAAATATTGTTTTATTACCAAAAAAATAGAACTGATTCTGGCTTATAAGCTCAAACAAATTGATTACGGCTGATTTGTAGAGAGTTTGTTTCCGGCCGGCACCTCCTGGAACGTTTCAAAGCGGCATTTCGCCGGCGGCTGTTTTCAACTTTCGAAGCAGATCGAGCTCTCCGAAGATTATAAAATTTACATAAACCGTGTGGCGTCTGCTTTGAATTGGCAACGATGGCTAGCGGAGATAATACTACTTGATCAAGTCGTACTGTCGTAGTATCCAGGCAATACGTTAGTTGCGGTATTTTATTATGCACAGCTGCTGTCCAGGCTTGTGTGATACGTACTAATTCTAATGCACGTCTGGGGAACAACAAAGTAGGAGCACCAGCACCTCATTATCGTCAGCACAATAGAAACACCAAATACAAGTATAATTAGATAGCTATATATGCGAGTATGGCATGCTCCTGAAAATAACACTTCGGTACAAATCAACCTGCTTTTGGTCATGCACGCTAATCTTGCGTACGAATACTACCATGACGTAGGAGGCAGGACCCATTGAAAGGATCAATGCCCTGTTCGCTTGGCTCGAGCCATCGCTGAAAGTACTATTGGTTGATTTGTTGTGAGAGAAAAATATTGTTCGTTGACTGAAAAATACGGCTTATAAACCAAGCGAACAGGGTGCAAGATTCCCAAGAGAGGGTTGAATTTGGCTAATTCTAATTTTTTCAATAATTAAACTCTACACTTAGCACACTTCACCTCTCGTATCTAGAGTGTGTTTCTATTGTTTTGCCATACAAAAGTTTTGCATCCTATGTTCTAATACTACTCTAACATAATAATTCTAGGAATGTAAAGACATAAAATGAATTGCTCAAAATAAAAAGAGGGAAAGCAACGCGGCGATGTTTTTCCGAGGTATCGGAGAGTCGTCACTCCCTACTAGTCATCGTTGGAGAACCCGCAGCAAGGGTGTAGCTCCCCCTTGATCCACGCAAGGAATAAGTGCTCTCTACGGGCTGATTTTTTGACACTCCGTCACGGTGAATCGCCCACAACCACTCACAACATGACTTGGGTCATCCACAAGCTCCGCAGGATGATCATCAAGCTCCCAACCACCACCGAGTCGTCTAGGTGATGGCGATCACCAAGAGTAACAAGCACAAACTCTCACTTGACCAAGACAAGCCTAATGAGAAAGATGGATGCACACTTACCCTATGCACTAGTGAGGTCCTTAATCTTGGATTATCAACTCTCAATCACCACACTAGGCTCTCGCTCTCCCTTGCACTCTCAAAGGCGTTTCACAGCTGAACAATTGGACAAGAGACCTCTCATGAATGAGTGGGATAAGTATTTATACCCCATCATTCAAAACATAACGGTTGGAGGCCAACTCAGCAAGTTTCGGGGTGACCGGATGCTCCGATCAGTAGTACACGTCACTGTGTCAGATAGAGCCATTAGCTCTGACCGGACGCAGGACCGGACTCTAACCTGCGTCCGGTCATCATCCACCGGACACGTCCGGTCAGCAAAATGCTCCTATAGATGCTCTCTGATGTTGATCGGATGCAGGCACCCTAGCGTACGGTCATGTATTGTTTAGCGTCCGGTCAGTACATGACTGTAGCTGCTGATCAAATGAACTGATCGGACTCTTCACGCTGCGTCCGGTCACAATCAAACCAGCGTCCGGTCAATCATTTGACCCTCCATTCACTTCCAATTCGAAATCCTTCGAGAATAAAGTTGATTTCTATCGATCTTAGGGCTATTTCTAAGGTGCCTAGTGTTAAGTTTGACATGTGTGCACCACACCTAATCCATTAGACTCACATAGGTCAAGCTACTAGTCCATACCTCCTTAATAGTACGACCAAAGGAAAAACAAAGTCATAAACTACTAAGTGTCTCTCTAACGTCAAACGACACTTAAAACTAGTCCGTCCTTAACCTTGTCATCCATTTTTGAAAACCAAAACGATTTCCATCGACAGGGGCATGACAACCATGATTGCCCAATCAATTTTCATTACCATGACCTAACTCAAATTACCTCTGCAAAATACACGTTTATCATAGTAATCTCGTATCATCATTAATCACCAAAACCCAACTAAGAACTATATGCTTTCACCCAGCTTAATGGCATGTACATACGGTCGCTCAATACTGCTCGATCCATCATTTTGTCCTGAAATAAAAAAAGACAAGATGCTTACTATTGTCACTGTCGAAAGGGATCAATATATGGTTATCTTGCATCAATCCACTAGAACATGATAGCGCTGGTGCTTTTCTGTGGGGCAATAATAATTCCTATGTGCTAATCACATATTTTCTACTGTGTGCGCATGTGCGCGCGTGTGGCACAGCCACAGAATAATGAATGGCCCTTAATCCATTGCACATTTTTTTCTGTCTAATTCAATAATTTCAGGATCCGCTCAATAAAGCCTCAAAGTATGCTTTGTATATATGCCTTCACCCTTCATGGTCTTTATTCAGGGTGGTATTTGCATGTTGGCAAAGGAACTTACTCCACCGACAAATTTTCAGTATGACTGATTTAAAAGTGGAAAAGGCACTTGGCACATAATAAGTTGTTTCATAATTTTTCTAAGTTAAATACATCGTAGGTCCATTAACTTTTGGTGGTGTGTCATTTAGGTCCATCAGCTTTTAAACTGTATTTTTTAGTCTATTAACTTTTGGTGGTGTGTCATCCAGCTCCATCAACTTTCAAACTGCATTTTTGGGTCCATTAATTTTTGGTGGTGTGTCATCCAGTTCCATCAACTTTTAAATTATATTTTGGGTCTCTAAACTTTTTTGAAAAGTTCACCATAGGTTCATGCTTCGTTTAGCGAATAGATCCACATGTGCTAATGATAGATTAATTAGTATCATTAGATCACCATCGGAGATAATCTTCAATACGAAAACCTGATGGGTTCCATCTAGGGTTTTGTTTTTTTATTAGTATCTAAAATCCCTAATCTACCCGTATAACATCCTTCCAGTCACCGACCCAAACAAAACTCGGACTCCACCAGCCCAACTAGGACCCGATTGACCCGAGTCCCAGATTCAAAAATGCATTTCACGTTCAAACGCATGACCACCAATTTGATTCACTTACGCAGGCACTAAAAGCTCGATGCTAGATAAAAGATCATGTATCACACTGGATAGGAAACTAATGTATGGAAATATTTAAAAAAGTGGCAAGGATGCTAATCACTTGACAAAACATCGATGAATCCACCTCTTTGAATTTCTTGATGTATTTTGTTCTTCATTTTCTCCTCCTTTCCATGCAATAATAAGGCACCTCTATAAAATATCTTTGATGACATGTTCAGTTTAACTTTGTCCACAATATATTTATTCTTAAAAATCTAGGTCCATCAACCAGAGGGTTTTAACGAATTACCAACTGCTATTTTTGACTTATTAAGACAAGTGGTGTGTCATCTTGAGGAGCCATCAACTTTCACCTACTCCATGATGCTTTTTTTGGTCCATTATGTATTGCTAAACGAAGGTGTGTCATTTAGGTCCATCAACTTTTAAATTAAAATTTAGGGACCCAAAAATATAATTTGAAAGTTGATGGACCTGAATGACACACCACCAAAAGTTAATGGACCAAAAAATACAGTTTAAAAGTTGATGGACCTGGATGACATACCACCAAAAGTTAATGAACCCAAAAATACAGTTTAAAAGTTGATGAACCTAGATGACACACCACCAAAAGTTAATAGACCTATTGTGCATTTAACTCATTTTTCTATGTTCATGTGAAAACTGTGTGCCACCCATGTTTGGTATTCTGTAAAGTAACGGAACGGGTGTCAGTTACTAGTAGCTTGTTATACGATGGGCGGATGGGGATGGGGTCTGCCGCTCCTGCACCTAATATCTCTCCTAGTTGCCGACCATTTCAGGTATAAACGACGTCTGGAAATGGGATCACCATCTAGGATATGGAACCCAGCAGCAGCAGTCCTTCGTGACGTATTGACGTGTATATGGATGGGAAAACTTGGTGGCCTAGCCTATGAGGATATGATGTTCAGTTCTGCAAGCTAATCTATTCATGACAACAAGACACGTATAGGAACTCCATAAAACGGCGGAAGGATGACGCAACCTATTTCTTCTCAATAAATGACAGCGACACGGGAGGCACTTGGTTGTTTGCCATCATCGTGTGATTGTGAAGAAAAGTTAGATTTCCAGATGAGATACTTTAGGACGTACGTATATTATCGTTGCCGAATCGAATGA